AATGTTAGAGTGACCCTTCCTGCGAAGATCTGCTGTTTCACTGGGTTTTTAGAATGCAAACTGTAGGTCATCCTGTCCACTGTTCGGATTTCTCTCTTCCCCCAGTCCTCAGATTACTACAGCTAGTTGATGTACCGTAGAAGAGAGAGCGTGGGGAAAGCACACTCGGCACTTTGTTCAGAGATTGTGTACTATCACGTCGCCTCTTCCGGGGCTAACCCTGGGTGAACCTGGCCTCGGATTACGTCCTGCATGCAGATCCAACACGATGGTTCCTGCAACACCGTTTTTTTTGAGGGATACCCAGGGAACGCAACGTCGGCGCAACACACAGGAAATGTAGACAGGGGTTCCACGTGCCCCCCGTTGGGTTCCAGCTCTCCTTTCGAGAAATGTTTGTGCAAGACGGAAAGAGGAACTACTCAGGCGCCGTTCCCTTCACCTCCCAAGAATGTTGTGAAATGTGTCGAATCGTGAGTGCGACATGCGTCGCTCGCCCCCCCCGTCACGTTCACGAGACTTTCTGAACCGTTAGCTCCGAGCCTGCTCTGCTCTCCCTGTTTCAGGAACGAAAATGAAGAGAAGGCAGAGATATACCTCACGTGGAGCAACCTGCTCTCCCTTCCTGGGGGTGGGGTGGGGGGTCCAAGAAGCCCTTAAGTTTGTTGTTGTTTAGCTTTGCACTATGTTCACTTTTGGCAAACTTGAACGCTGCTGTCCTGGTTGATCGACGGAGTGGTGGGTTGCTCTCTTCAGCGATGCTAACCCTTTCTTTGCAAACTGGAGAGGCTAAAATATGGAGCAGGCTCCAGCGTACTGTTGTGCCCCCACCTGTAGGCAGGAATGTCGAGCTACCAGTTTGATGCAAACCTCCAGGCCCGGACCCGGACCGTTATTGTAGTACCGGCCTAGGAAAATGTGCCTCCTTTGGGTTTCCATTGTTTGCTTGTAACGCGTAGAACGAACGATCAAGGGAGTAGCTGAACTGACTAGGCGGGGATTAAACTCCACATCCGTTTGAAGGGGGGAGGGGGGAGGTATAAAAACAATGTCACACTCTCTTGAACCCCGTGGCTGTCATTTCATCCAAGCTAGCAAAAGGCCCCTATCTGCAGGGGTCCGTGAGCAAAAGCAAGGGCTAGCTAGGGCCCCTTTTGCAAGAGAATTCCAACTCTTTTAAAATCCCTTTCGCTGGGAGCAAGCCACATCATGACCAAGCTTCACTCGTCCCACTAAACTCTTATACGGCGGGCTTGTTTGTGTGGTGTGCGTGGGTTTGCCCTGAACTGTGAGGAAGCCAAGCCTGGCTTGTGAGTACCATGTTGTGAGGTTAATTTTCCCCGTTAGGGAAAGTTGTCGGTGTTTACACCCAAGAATAAAAGTTAGTCGCTCATTTATCCAGAGAATGTTTCGATGGGATGAGAGGAGTCACATCCGCTCCCAGGTATCTGTGGACACCTGGAAAGAGCCGACGTGACGGGTTTTTACCAATTGTTCTGCTAAGTTATGGCGGAGTTTGTTTAACGCCTGGACATTTTTCTACACAACTTCCCAGCTCTTTCCCAAACGACACTGTGGTTGTGTTCACACAACCTGCAAAACACAGCCACTGTGCTGATCCCTTTCTCTGCATACGCAGACAGCGGGATGATAATCCCACCCAACAGGTTGCGTTGATTCCATGCACGAAAAGCGAAAAGCTAAGCCAGGCCTTCAGCAGGTTATACTGCTAAATTCAATAGACTTGGCCATGTTCCATAAATACAGGCAGTCCTCGACTTACGACGATTCATTTAGTGACCGTTTGAAGTTACGACGGCACCGTAAAGTGAACTAAGGGCCACTTGTGGTGCTTACAACTGTTTTAGCATCCCCTAAATTTTGTGATCAAAATTGGCTACAGATAGTCCTCGACTTACGACGATTCATTTAGTGACCGTTTGAAGTTACGACGGCACCGTAAAGTGAACTAAGGGCCACTTGTGGTGCTTACAACTGTTTTAGCATCCCCTAAATTTTGTGATCAAAATTGGCTACAGGTAGTCCTCAACTTACGACCACAATTGAGCCCAGGATTCATGTTGCTAAGTGGGGGGGGGAAATCCATTCAGTGAGTTTTGCCCCATTTAACAACTTTTCTTGCCACATTTCTTAAGTGAATCACTGCAATTGTTAAATGAGTAGCATGGTTGTTAAGTGAATCTTGGCTTCCCCTTTGACTTTGCCTCTCAAAACGTCACGAAAAATGAGATCACAGGGAACCGTCATAAATGTGAGACAGTTGTCAAGCATCGGAATGTAAAGCG